CACCTCTCAAAGCCATCAGGAACCTCGGGGTTCCCTTCGACCCTGAGCTGTCCTTTCTCCCTCATATCCGCACCACAACTGGCACCGCCTTCCATCAGCTCCAGAACATCGCCAGACTACGGCACTACCTCACCCCTCACGCGGCTGAAACTCTGGTCCACATCTTTATCACCTCAAGGCCGGACTATGGGAACTCTCTCCTCTCCGGCCTTCCCGGCCCTCCCTCCACACTGCAGGTCATTCAGAACTCTGCAGCTCGTGTGCTGTCCCGTACCAGGCCTCGCGCCCACATCACTCCCACCCTCTCCCTCACCCTCCCCCTCACCTTCGCCCTCACCCTCGCCCTCACTCCCACCCTCGCCCTCACCCTCGCTCGCCTCCACAGGGCTCCCCATCCCCAGAGGATCGAATTCAAGATCCTCATCTTCACCTACAAGGCCATTCACGGCCTCGCTCCCTCCTACCTCTCCGACCTCCTATCCCCCCATGTACCTGCCCGTACCCTCCATTCCTCTGGCTCCGGTCTGCTCCACATCCCCCGCCCCAACCGCCCTACCATCGGTGGCCTTCAGCCTCTCAGCCCCGAGGCTCTGGAACTCCATCCCCAGTGCCTTCGCCGCTTCCTCCCTTTCCTCCTTCAAGGCCGGTCTCAAGGCCTTTCTCTTTGACCGTACCTTCAGCTCCACTCTCGACTCTCTACCCCCTCCTCGCTCCCTCCCTTCCCTCCCCTCACCCTGACCATTTCGCCCCTTTTCGGTCCCTCCCTTCCCTCCCCTCACCCCGACCATTTCCCCCCAATGCTCAGATCCTGACCAACTGTACAGTGCCTTGGGACATCCTCCGAACTTGACAGGCGCTCTATAAATGGAATCTTGTTGTTGTTGTTGTAAAATGTGGGGCCCAGAACTGAACACAGTCTCTAACTGAGGCCCTCCCGATTGGCTCTCGCCAGTGCTCTGCACCTCAGGCTCTGGCAGCATCAACCTCCGTGGTTGTACACTTCAACTCACCGATGCACCAGCCAGTCAGGAACCTCGGTGTCTTGTTTGACCCTCAACTGTCTGTTCTTCCCCACATCCAAGCCATGACTCGCTCTGCCTTTCCTCAGCTCTGTAACATCGCCCGACTCCGCCACCCCCTCACCCCTCAGGCCGCTGAAATTCTTGCCTTCATCACCTCCAGGCTCGACTATGCAAACGCCCGGCTTGTCGGCCTTCCCAACTCCTCCCTCCACAGGCTGCAGATCATCCAGAACTCTACAGCCCGTGTCCTCTCCCGCACCAAACTCCATGACCCCCATCTGTCCCATTCTCTCCCGACTCCATTGACTCCCTGATCAGAGGATCCAGTTCAAGATCCTGGTCCTCACCTACAAAGCCATCATTAGTCTCGCCCAACCCTATCTCTGTGACCTCCTAACCCCCTACCAACCCGCCCACTCTCTCCGCTCAGCCGGCTCCGGCTGCTCCATCTCCCCCGCCCCACCATTGGTGGGAGAGGCTTCAGCCACTCTGCCCCCAACCTCTAGTATTCCAATCACTCCAATCACTCCGCCTCGCCACCTCCTTAGCCTCCTTCAAGTCCCTCCTCAAAACCCTCCTCTTCGACTATGACCCTTCCCCTCCCCTCTCCTCTCTGACCCCAGCTTTGGTCTGTAATGCTGTGTACTGTCCAGCGCCTTGGGATTTCCTCCCAACATGAAAGGCGCTAAGTCACAAAATCTCCCTCCTTCCCACAGTTGGCCTGGGAACAATATGTCACATATCACTTGCCCACTCACATTAACTGTGCGTCAATCAGGGCCATCTGAAAGGAAAAACATTAAACTGTGACATAGATAGATAAATGGATGGCAGATTAGAGCATGAGAGAAACAGTCTTTTTACAAGTAGCACAGGCTTCTGACTGTTTGTGGGTCCCTCCTGTGCGCAATCGGCTGCCGCGTTTCACCCATAAAATATACAGTCAATTCACTTTACAGTATATTCTGTGAAGTGATTTGAGACGTTCTTTTTGGAGGGGTTAATACTTCCCGGAAAGTGATCCGGCAATCGACTAACGGGTTCCTACTTACTTTTAGGTAAACAGAGGCGCGTGTGTGTGTGTGGGGGGGGGGGGGGGGAATTGGGGGGGGGGGAATTGGGGGCACGTGTGGGATTGGAATAAGATTTCGCCCTGACCCGCCCAGGAATCAAACACAAGTCCTCTCGCTTGATAAGGCGATGTATCAAATGCAAGGATTATTGTGATGATGATCATGATTATGACCATTAGTTTTGTTATCATTATTTTTATTATTATTGTTCTGATTCTTATCCTTATTTTTATTATTACAGCTCAGGTCACGTGAATTTAAGGTGATCTGTGGATCATGGAGTTCAAAGCGAGTCGGGGTTCCTGCTCCTGGTCCCTAACGCTCCCTCTAGTGCTCAGGTATGTGTGTTACAGTCTGGTGGAGAGAGATTAGGTTTGTCTGTGGGGCCCTCTACAGTCGAGTGGCCGATTGACACTCAAATGGTGATGAGATCTTTAACCTGAACAGGCAGATAGTTTAACATCTCATCCAAACAACTGCTCTTCCAATGATAATACTAATAGTGGATTCCTGTAGTTCAGTGGTTAGAGCCTCGCAAGTGAGAGACTTGGGTTCAATTCCCAGCAGGGGGGACGTCGCTGTGCTCAATTGGCTTTACAGTCAATTCACTTTACAGTATATTCTGTGAAGCGTTTTAAGACATCAAGAAGATGTGAAAAGCACTGTATCAAATGCAAGAATCATTATATTTATAGGGCAAAACGTAATCATCAAAAAATAATAATCATAAATTGGTCACTCAATCCACAACTATTTATGGGAAAACACTGTGTGCAATTGATTGCCATTTTATGGAAGTGTTATTACCTCCGGAAAGCGATCCACCAACCAACTAACAAGGACACTTATCCAACATTTCGCCTAACTGGAAAGTGGATCCAGGTCCTCTTATTACCCCCAGAAAAGCGATCTGCCAATCGACTAACAACTGGATTCCTACTTACTGCTGGTAAACAGAGGTGTGACTAAAAAGTGTGTGTGTGTGTGTGGTGTAAGGAAACTTGCTTAAGATTTTGCCCTGACCCGACTGGGAATCGAACTCAGATCCTCTCGCTTGTGAGATGAGCACTCCAACCACTGAGCTACAGGGACTCCAACCACTGAGCTACAGGGACTCCACAAGATACTCGCTGAGATACAAGTTTAGTGTGTGTTTTGTGATGTGTTCAGTGACTGTTTAGGGATGTGTTCAGGATCATGTTTTGGGACCCCATCACTCCCATCTTCGCCCGGCTCCACTGGCTCCCCATCACTGAGAGGGTACCGTTCAAGATCCTGGTCCTCACCTTCAAAGCCCTCCATGGCCTTGCTCCCCGTCTGCTCCCTCCGTTCAACGGGCTCCAGGCTGCTTCACATCCTCCACCCGGCCCACCCAGCACTGTTGTTCGGGCCGTCAGCCTCTCTGCCCCATTATCTGGAACTTCAACCCACATTCCCTTTGCGGCTCAAAGCACTTGGCAGGATATACTGTAAAGTGTAGTGACTGTGTGTTTAGTGACTGTGTAGTCAGTGTGCACCCCGCCACACTCCTAGCCTCTGACATTGAATTATTGCGATTAAACCAAAGGAATTTTATTAGCAGAAAAACATAACAAGATAGAAACAGAAACAGAAATTGCTGGGAACACTCAGCAGGTCATGCAGCGTCTATGGAGAAAGGAAGTAGGTCAACATTTTGGGTCCTGTGTTTGGGGCCTTGGACAGTGGTATGGGAGGAGGGGAAAGGGCAGGTATTGCATCTCCTGCGCTGGCATGGGAAGGAGCCGGGGGGAGGAGAAGAACTGCTGGTGGTGATGGAGGAATGAACCAGGGAGTCACAGAGGGAAGGGTTCCTTCGGAATACTGAGGGGAAGGGAGGGGAAGATATGCTTAGGGGTTGGATCGTATGATTTCATGTGGAAGTAAAACCCATTGCAAGATTTGCTCACTCATAAAACTGGCTCGTTGCCTCAGATTGCTGTACCTGGCCTGCAGCGGGCTAGGAATAGTAATAATAATGATAATAATAATTCTTGCAAAACAAATAAATTGGTCACTTCAATCCACGACTGTTATTGGGACATCTCTGCGCTCATGCAATTGGCTGTTGCGTTCTACCCATAAAATATACAGTCACCGCACTTCACAGTATCTCCCTGTGAAGTGCTTTGAGACGTCTCGGAGACGTCATAAAGCGTTGTATCAAATAGAATAATCATTGCATTTGCGCACAGCGACGTCCCACAAACAGTCTTGGATTAAGTGACCAATTATTATTATATTTCTTTCGCAAGGAATTATAACCCCCCAGAAAAGCGATCCATCTATCGACTAACAAGCGGGTTCCGACTTACTGCTTGGTAAACAGAGGCGTCTGTGTGTGTGGAGTAATAAAACTTGCCTTCGTTTCACCTTGAATACTGAACTAGTGGTGAATAATGTTAACTTGTCAATGAGTCGATAAGTTAAGTCACAACAACAACAATTGGAATTTACACAGCACTCTTTACATGGGGAAGCATCTCGGAGTGGCGGAGCCTCATGCCAAGCCAGTGGGAGGGGAGAGAGGGAGGAAGTGACCATAAGCATGGTCAAAGAGGAAGGCCTTCAGTTGTGATCTAAAAGAGTGGGGAGGGGACGGCAGGAAAGTGGGGACAAGGCGGAAGGATTGGGGGAGAGAGCTCGAAAGTTTGAAAGTACGGACATCCACGATGGATTGGAGGGCACGAGGGACAAGCAGGAGGCCGCATCCAGCTGAGTGGAGGCAGCATGTCATGGGTTGGGCGGTCAGCAGGTCGGAGAGAGAGGTAGGGGGTGCCAAGGCCTGAAAGGATTTGTAGATGATTGATATTCGTACAAACGTATGGTCAATTCATTTTACAGCATATTCTGTGAAGCGCTTTGAGACGTCGAGAAGACGTATATCAAATGCAAGGATTATATTATTAAAGGATCTTGAAATCGATCTACGTTGTCACAGCTATTTACTTCCCGGGGCCATTACGACGTAAATTGTGATAAATATCTTTTTGGTGCTTTCCAAGGTTCTGAAACACAATGAATACAGGACAGATCATTACTATCAACACATTTACACAGAGCCTTTCATGTCAGGAGGACGTCCCAAGGAGCTGGACAGTCAGGGATTTGGATCTGAGCTGTAGGTTGGGATCAGGAGGGGTGGAGGGCGGGGAGGGTGGGGGGTGGGAGGGTGACCAAAGGAGCAGTTGATTGAAGACGAAAGTCTTGAGACAGGCCTTGAAGGAGGTGAGGGAGGGAGTGAGATGGAAGGATTGTGAGATGGAGTTCCAGAGGATGGGGCAGAGTGACTGAACGCCCGACCGATGGTGGGGCAGGCGAGGTGGGGGATGTGAAGCAGGCCGGAGGCAGAGGGGTGAGGAGGTCGCAGAGGTAGTGGGGAGCAACGTCATGGAGGGCTTTGAAGGTGAAGACCAGGATCTTGAACTGTATGCTGTGTGTGATGGGAAGCAGTGGAGTCGGGAAGGGTGGGGCTGATGGGGGGCAGAGCCTGGGGTGGGAGAGGACAGAGCTGCAGAATTAGTTCTGGATGATCTGCAGTTTGTAGAGGGAGGCGTTGGGAAGGCCGACAAGCAGGGAGTGGGCAAAGTCAAGCCTGTATGTGGTGAACACATGGATGAGGGTCTCGGTGGCCTGTGGTGAGAGACAGTGGCGGAGACGGGCAATATGGTGGAGGTGGGGAAGGCATAGCAGGTCATGGCATGGATGAGGGGATGAAGGACAGTTTAGGGTCGTAAAGAACAGAGGTGGGACAGCAAGAGACTGAGCCGGGCTGACACACTGTCCATGTCAGCCATTTGTTTCCTCACCATGTAAGGGCCTGAATCCTTCTGGGAGACATTGGCAGAGGAAGCCTAAAATATAACCAAACACAGTTTAGCTATTCAGTAGCAATGTCGTTAGCAGTAAATAATAATAACCCTTGCACTTCATACAGCAGCTTATCATGTCATATCTTCGAGACGTCTCAAAGTGCTTCACAGGATACACCGTAAAGTGTAGTGACTGTGTTTTTATCATAATAATAATAATCCTTGCATTTGATACAGCACCTTATCACGACTTTGAGTCATATCAAAGGGGAGCCAATTGCCTACGGTCCTTGTCCGGGAATCGAAACCGGATTCTCTCGCTTGCGAGCCGAGTGCTCTAACCACTGAGCTACAGGACTGCACAGAACTTACTCTGACATCAATGTTCTCGTAGTGTGGTTCCCACTCTGTCTCTCGCTGTGCACTGCGGGGTGTCTTGGCTAGAAAATAAACAACAACTTGTTTATTCAAAGGCGCAGCCTCTGATGGTGGGATAGAGGGAACGAGGGATAAGCAGGAGGCCAGAGGGGGGGTTGAGCAGGTCGGAGAGGTAGGGAGGTACTAGGGCATGAAGGGGTTTGAAGTCACGTCAAATTGGAAGAAGTTCTCTCCCATTGCGTTAGTGACATGGCATTGATATGTGCCCTGATCGGTTGCCTGGAATTTACTGATGAGCAGTTTAGAGAAGGTTAGTCCTGAGGTGATGATGAACTTGCCGTCAGAGCCAGTGATGGAGTTGTCTTCCTTCGACCATGTAAAGTGTGCGGGCAGCAGGCCAGGGTCTGACACCCGCACTGTGTCTGTCAGTGACACGTCTAAGGTCACATCTGCCTCCTTCCCCACTTCCACCTGAGGCTCAGACCCTGACGCTCTCTGGGGTTTATCTGTGTAACAGCACAGACAGCGTTCAGCAAAACAGCAACACAGTCACCCCAACAGTTAGTAGGAATAATAATAATCCTCCCGTTTGATACAGCGCCTTATCACGCCATCGAGACATCTTAAATCCTATCTAAAGACCTTCCTCTTCGACCAACCGCACCTTCAGCCACCCTCCCACCCCCCAACCCACCCCCCTGCCCTCCACCCCTCCTGACCCCAACTCCCAGCTCAGGTCCAAAAACCCTGACTGTGCAGCGTCCCGGGACATGTTTGCGACGTGAAGGGCGCTATACAAGTGTAATTTGTCATCGTTGTTGTTGTTCAGCCCTCAAGTCCTCACCAATGACTATAGAGCATTGACTGTCAGAGACAACATGGCGTCCAACACATGTGAAGATCTCTCGGGAGCTGAGCTGATCCTTTGTGATGGTGACATTCCCCTCGTTTGTCGCATTGACAATCGTCTGTCCGACCTTCAGCTGAAGGACAGAGTCTGGCACCCCACCAGCCCAGGAGCACATCAACACCAATGCTGTTCCTTTATCTGCTGCTCCGCATGTGATCTGCTGTGTGGGAGCCCCTTGAACAAGGCAAAGACAAACAGTCCAGTTATTGGCTCCACCTTGAGTTGTCCCCACCCTCGCCCGGCTCCACTCGCTCCCCATCCCTCAGAGGATACTGTTCAAGATCCTGGTGCTCAGCTTCAAAGCCCTCCATTGCTTCACTTCTCCCTCCCTACCTCTATGGCCTCCTAACCCCCGACCAACCTGTCCGCTCCCTCCGCTCAGCGGGTGCTGCACTGCTCCATGTCCCCTCCCGCCTGCCCCACCGTCAGTGGTCGGGCCTTATGTCTGTGTTTGGGCCTTAGGCCTCTCTGCCCCCACCCTCTGAAACTTCCACAATCCCTCTGCCATGCCGCCCTCGCCTCCTTTATAACCCATCTCAAGATTTCCCTCTTCGACAGACTGTGCCGTCGGTCAACCTCCTACACCCATCTCCCTGCCCTCCAACCCACCTGATAGCAACCCCCAGCTCAGGTGTGGGTCCCTGACTGTCCAGTGCCTTGGGACATCCTCCTGACGTGAAAGCCACTGTGTAAATGTCATGTGTTGTTATTTAGACAGTGCCAATTTTGACTGAGATCTAACTCACTGTACACGAGGATTGAAACCTTCTCCGTGCGGCTAATCGTGGTGTAATCGCTCTCCACATTGCAAGTGTAATCCCCGCTGTTGTGGAACGTGAGGCTCTCTATAGGCAGCTGTGAGGTGTTGCCGGCAATGACTGTGGTGTTATGTGTCCACCTGTAGTTGCCCTCTGGGAAACATTTCGTCTGACAGTTGAGGGTCATAAATCTCCCTCCTTCCCACAGTACTGTCCTGGGAAGAAGCTGTCACATAGCTCCAGCCCGATCACTTCAACTGTGGGTGGATCAGGGCCATCTGAAAGAATAAGCATTAAACTGTGACATAGATAGATAAATGGATGGCAGATGATAGTGTGAGAGAAACAGCCTTTTTACATGTATCACAGATCTCTGGCTGTTTGTGGGACGCTGCTGTGCGCAATTGGCTGCCGAGTTTTGCCCATAAAATCTACAGTCAATTCACTTGACAGTATATTCTGTGAAGCGATTTGAGACGAGGTAAGGTGTTTTTTTTGGAGGGGTTAATACCTCCCGAAAAGTGATCTGCCAATCGACTAACAAGGGTTCCCACTTACTGCTCCGTAAGTAATGTGGTGTGTGTGTGTGTGGGTGTGCTTGTGGGGTGTGGGGCGCGGATGTGGGGTGTGGGTGGAGTAAGGAAAGTTGCTTAAGGTTTCGCTCTGACCCGCCCGGGAATTGAACCCAGGTCCTCTCTTGCTTGATTGTCAAATGCAAGGATGATTCTTATTCTTATGATGATAACTATGATCATTATTATTGTTATTATCATTATTATTATTGCAGCTCAGGTCGCGTGAGGCTGAATTTAAGGTGATCTGTGGGTCATGGAGTTTAAAGCGAGTCAGGGTTCCTGTTCCTGGTCCCTAAACTCCCTCTCGGGCTCAAGTGTGGGTGTTGCAGTCTGGTGGGGAGATTAGGTTTGTCTGTGGTGCCCTCTACAGTCAAGTGGCCGATTGACACTCAAATAGTGATGGGATCTTTAACCTGAACAGGCAGATAGTTTAACGTCTCATCCAAACAACGGCTCTTCCAATGACAATAATAACTAGCTCCGTGGTTAGAGGCATTCCTTATTTGTGTTTGATTCCCAGCAGGGGGTGAATGCTTGGGCAAGTTTCCTTACTCCACACGCCTGATAATAATCCTTCAAGAAAATAAATTGGTGACTTCAATCTACGGCTGTTTGTGGGACGTTGCTGTGCGCAATTGTCTGCCGCGTTTTACCCACAAATATACAGTCAATTCACTTTACAGTATATTCTGTGAAGCGTTTGAGTTGTCTAAAACACATGAAAAGCACTGTATCAAATGCAAGGATTATTATATTAGTTATAGAGCAAAACGTCGGCCAAGTTTCCGTACTCCCAAACACACCCTCTGTTTACTGAGCAGTAATTAGGAACCCTTAATTAGTCGATTGGTGGATCGCTAACTGGGAATCAAACCAAAGAGCTCTCACTTGCGAGGTGAGGGCTCCAACCACTACAGGACCCCACTGTTTGTTCCTCCATCCACAGCATCAAACCCCAATGTAGAATATTCCAGCATTGCATTGGAGCTTCAGTCTGGACTACATGAGTTCCAAGTACTGACGTGAGGCCACAACCTTCTGACTTATAGAGAGCTGAGCCAGGCTGGAACAAGTAGGGATACACGTGGGCCAACTGCACTGTCCTGTTCAGCTCACGTTGATCTGGTTTTAACACCACAGCAAATATACTCACAAGTTATCACCAGCTTCACTGGTTTGCTGCTGTCACTGCCCACCAGGTTACTGGCCGTGCAGATAAACCCTCCACTGTCGCTCCTGTGTACGGGGCTGATTGTCAGAGTGCTATTATCTGCAGACAGTGTGTAACGTGGGGTTACAGGTAACGGGTGTCCATCCAGTGCCCAGGAATAGGTGGGGAACGATCCCATCGCTGTACATCTCAGTGTCACTGTGTCTTCATTCTCGATAAATATCTCCTTGTCTGGACTCAGGCTGATGCTCACATTGGACACCAGGGCTGTAAGATAACGCGTTTCATTTCATTCTGAAACTTTACTGACCTCACACTTTATTTCTGACACTGATAATAATAATTCAATGAAGTGAATTGACTGTATATTTTCTGGGCGCAACACGGCAGCCAATTGTGCACAGAGTCTCCCACAGTCGTGGATTGAGTGAGGAAAATATAATTGCTTCTTTAACAAGGACTGGGTGGCCTTTTTTGTGGTGGTGGGGGGAGAGAGAGACACACACACAGAAACACAGAGAGCCACATACACACACACACAGACTCAGAGAGAGACTCACACACTCATAGAGAAACACACACTCAGAGACAGAGAGAGAGACTCACACTCACAGATAGACAGACACAGAGAGAGACACACACTCTCACAGATACAGAGAGGGATACATTTGTATAGCGCCTTTCACGTCGGGAGGATGTCCCATAGATAGAGACACACTTACAGTCACGTAATCCACAACTGTTTGTGGGACACTACTGTGCGCAACGGGCTGCTGCGTTTCGCCCATAAATATACAGAATTCACTTTACAGTGTATTCTGTGAAGCGCTTTGAGATGTCCAGAAGATGTGATACTGTGCTATATCAAATGCAAGGATTATTTATTATTTATTATTACAGATACAGAGACACACATACAGGCACATCCACAAACACACAGAGGGAGACACGGACACACAACAACACACAGATACTCGCAACAGAGAGGTACACAGAGACACACAGACACTCTCAAACAGAGAGATACACAAACACACAGAGACACATAGACACTCACGAACAAAGAGATACACAGGCACTCACGAATGCATAAAGAGGCATACACACACTCATACACACATGCACAGAGACACACACTCACAAACTGAGAGAGAAACAAACACAGACACACACACACTCACAGAGACACAGACACACACACTCACAGAGACACGGACACACACAGAGACACACACACACACACTCACACAGAGAGAAACAGACACACAGATTCACAGCCACACAGAGACACACAAACACTCACATTCCCTCTCTCAAATTCACACACAAACAGACAGACATACTCAAACTCACACAGCAGACTTATATACACACACACAGACAGACACTCTCTCTCTTACCTTCACACACTCTCACACACACAGACAGACACACACACAGACACTCACACTCCCTCTCTCACCTTTACACACAAACTCACACAGAGACAGACATACACAACCTCACACACAGACCTATACACACATTCTCACACAGAAACTCACACACATACAGTCACACACACACATACAAACACAATACTCACTCTCAGTCATACATACACAGACACACCCTCATACACACACCACCACACACACACTCTCACACACAGACAATCACACACAATCACAATAGTAGTGAATCCAAGGATGCGGCCCGCGGGCCACCAGTTGACCGTCCTGCTCTAACCAACACCCTACAGGACTCCACAGGGCTTGAAACACAACCTGCTGATTGAAGTGCTGCCGACTGAGTCAGGCCGACACCAAGGTCTGCCCTTTGACAAACCCCCAGGCACAAAGTTGATTAATTGATCAGTTTCAGAGTGAGTTTGTCGCCGGTCTGTGACCATCACAAGATCTCAGTCTCTCTCTGTATCCAACACATTAATTCAGTTCCACCGAGAAACCTGATATGTGGAACTGTTTAAATGAAATCTATTTCAGGAGAAATTAATGATATTTAGTGAAATCTCTGTACTGTGTAATAATAATAATAATAATAATCCTTGCATTTGATATAGCGCTTTTCACGTCGGGAGGATGTCCCAAAGCGCTTCGAGTGTAAACTAATGTGTAAACTAATCACCCCAGCCCTCACACACACTGAACTCTGTACTCCCACCACCCCAGCCCTCGCCAGGCCCCACTGGCTCCCTATCACACACTAAACCCTGTACCCCATCACCCCTGCCCTCGCCAGGCCCCACTGGCTCCCTATCACACCCTTCTGTTTGTCCTTCGCTCCCTCTGCTCCATCATTGGTGACCGTACCTTCAGCCACTATGCCCTGAAGCTCTCCCTATCAACCCCTCCATCTCGCCCCCTCACTCCCCACCTTCAAATCACGCCTATTTAATTGTATTTACCGTCACCTCCCCCCTCCCTCTCCCACCGGCTCGGGGTCAGACTCTGCCCCTGTCCAGCGCTCTCGGACTCTACCCTATGTGAGGAATGTGGTGTAAATGCAAGTTGTTGTTGTTGTTTACTCACTGTGAACACGCAGTTGTAAAGCTGCTGTGGCTGATCCGTGGTATAATTCAAACACAATCACTGAGTACGAACCGGAATCAGCCGGAGTCACTGTGTCCAGACGTAGAGTGGCATTGTTGGGGTAAAGCTCAGCCCGACCCTGGTAGTCTCCAAAATATTTCACTGTTGTTCCCTGTGCTGTTGCGATTGTGGAGCTGGTGTTGGCTTTCCATGATATGCTAAAACTTCCCTGTTCACTGGGCATTACCAGGAAGTACACAGATTGTCCGGCTGTGGCTTCTATGTGACTCTCAGTAACGGTCAGACTGAAAGCTCCCACCTGCTCTGTAACACATAACACACACAACAGTCAATCAATCACAGTGTAATAATAATATTAATATTAATCCTTGCATTTGATCTAACGTCTTATCACGTCTTTGAGATGTCTCAAAGCGCTTCACAGAATCTACTGTAAGTTGAATTCACTGTATATTTTGTGGGCAAAATTTTGAAGGAATTATTACTCCCAAAAAAAGCGATCCGCCAATCAACTAACAACCGGGTTCCTACTTCCTGCTGGTAAACAGAGGTGTGTGTGGAGTAAGGAAACTTGCCCAACAATTTGCTCTCCCGGGAATCAAACCAGGTCTCTCACTTGCGAGGCAAGTTCTTTAACCGCTGAGCTACAGGACTTTACAATTCAGAACTCTCTCAACTATTCAGTGAGTGAGTAGTAAACTTATTGAACAGGATCCCGATGGAGACAGACGGTGGAAGCAGAAAATGTCATTTGTTTCAAGATCAACTTTGATAGATTTTTACTGGAAAATAATATCTTGGGATACAGTATATAGACACACACAGACACACAGGAGTTACACACACACACAGAGACATACACACACAGACACACAGACATAGAGAAGGAATCACACACACACAGAGACACACACACACATAGACAGAGACACACAATCACAGAGAGAGACACATACAGAGAGACAGAGACACACACACTGAGAGACAGACACACACACACACAGACAGAGACACACACTGAGAGATAGACACACACATACACAGAGTGAGAGAGACACACAGTATATAGTTTGTGACACGACATGTCTAGCGACTGCCAGGACGGTGGGAGATGAACGAGATGGACCTTTGCTTATGTTGTTACCAGTAACTCACTCAGATTAGTGACCAGAATGAGCAGAGCAGCCACCAACATCCTCGCGGCTGGAAACCACCACATATACACGTTAGGGAGAGAGACAGAGACAAACTGAATATGGGCTGTCACCTGAACGCAGGGCAGAGTCTGCTGTTAATCATTACTGTTACTGTAGGGAGACCCTGACACTGGCTCTAATGGCACCCGGTGCACTTTCACTTTGTCAGGAATTAATATGTTAATTTATGAGATAAATAGTTTTACTTCCTGTAAGACACATTTTACGCCCTCACTATTTTTAATATTATTATAATAATAGTCCTTGCGTTTGACACAGCGCCTTATAACGTTTTTGAGACTTCTCAAAGTGCTTCACAGGATACACTGGGAAATGTAGTGACTGTGTTTTGTGGGAGAAACGCAGCAGCCAATTCCGCACAGCAATGTTCCACAAACAGTAGAGGATTGAGTGCCGTAATTGTTATTTTTTTTTGAGCAATCCTGCATTTGATACGGCGCTTATCACATCTTCGAAACGTCTCAAAGCGCTTCACAGGATACGCTGTACAGTGGAGTGACTGTGTGTTTTGGGGGCTGAAATGTGGCAGCCAATTGCACACAGTGACGTCCCCACAAACAGTTGTGGATTGAGTGACCACATTATTATTATTTTTTAAAAGATATTATTGCCCCCAGGAAATCGATCCCCCAATCGACTAACCCCCGGGTTCCTACTGACTGCTGGTAAACAGAGGTGTGAGTAACAAGTGTGTGTGTGTGGAGTAAGGAAACTTGCTTAAGGTTTTGCCCTGACACACCCAGGAATTGAACCCAGATCCTCTCGCTTGCGAGGCGAGCGCTCTAAACCCCTGAGCTACAGTGGAGACAAGATATTCGCTGAGGTACAAGTTTAGTGTGTTCAGTGACTGTTTAGGGATGTGTTCAGGGTCATGTTTCGTTACCCCATCACCCCCATCTTCGTTCGGCTCCACTGGCTCCCCATCACTCAGAGGGTACAGTTCAAGCTCCTGGTCCTCACCTTTAAAGCCCTCCATGGCCTCACTCCCCCCCACCTCTGTGAACTCCTAACTAACCCCCTACCAACCTGTCCATTCTCTCCACTCAGTAGCCTCCGGCCGGCTTCACATCCCCCACAAGTGGCTGTTGGGCCTTCAGCCTCTCCACCCCCTCCCTCGCCTCCTTCAAGGCCAGTTTCAAGACCTTCCTCTTCGACCATCACATCTTTGGTCACCGTCCTACCTTCCTCCTCCCCGTCCTCTACCCTTCCTGATCCCAACCCCCATCCTGGGTATAAACCTCTGACTGTCCAGCGCCTTGGGACGTCCTCCTGACATGAACATAATAATCATTGCATTTGATATCGCGCCTTATCATGTCGTCGTGACATCTCATTCATAGAACAGACTGTAGAGTGGAGTGACTGTGTATTTTGTAGCCAAAACATGGCAACCAATTATCATGTCATTGAAGTGGCTCAAAGAGCTTAGCAGGATATGCTACTGTAAAGTGTAGTGACTGTGTGTTCAGTGACTGTGTAGTGACTGTCAGGGATAGTGTGCACCCCACCACACTCCTAACCTCTGACACAAGATGGAATTATTGCGGTCAAACCAAAGGAATTTTATTACCAGAAGAAGATAACAAGAGAGAAATGTGGAGAGACGAGAGAAGCTGAGATTGTTCTCCTTAGAGCAAGAGGAGGATAGGGGAGATCTAATATAGGTGTTCAAAATGATGAGGGGTTTTGATAGAGTAAATAGGGAGAAACTGTTTCCACTGGTGTGTGGGTCAGTAACGGGAGAACATAGATTTAATATAATTGGGAAAAGAACCAGAGGGGAGACGAGGGGACATTTACGCAGCGATTTGTTACGGTCTGGAACGCACTGCCGGAAAGGCTATGAAATCAGATTCCATAGTAGCTTTCAAAAGGGAATTGGACAGGGACTTGAAAAGGAAAAATATGCAGAGATACGGGGTAGGAGCGGGGGAGTGGGACTGATTGGGCAGCTCTTTCAAAGAACCGGCACAGACACGATGGGCTGAATGGCTTCCGCCTGTGCTGTAAGATTCTGTGATTCCATAATCATAATAATAATAATCATTTGATATAGCGCCTTAACACGTCGAGATCTCAGAGCTCTTCACAGAGTACACTGTAAAGTGAATTGACTGTATATTTGTGGGCGAAACGCGGCAGACAATTGCGCACAGCAGTGTCCTACAAACAGTCGTGGATCGAAATAGCCAATATATTATTTTTTGTAAGGAATATTACCCCCAGAAAAGTAATCCACCAGTCGACTAACAACCGTATTCTTACTTACTGCAGTGTAAACAGAGGCGTGTGCGTGTGAAATAAGGACATTATGCCCCGACGCGCCCAGGAATCGAACAAAGGTCCTCTCGCTTGTGAGGCGAGTGCTGTAACCACTGAGCTGCAGGACTCCAACGATAAAACCCCTGACAGTTAACCACCCGGAGCTCAGTGACCTGTTAGTTAGGAATGTCTGGAGTTAATCGCTGTACAGCTCAAAGGTTTCAGTTGGTTTGAAGCAGTGATTTCATGTGGAAGTGAAAGCCATTGTAAGATTAGTTCACTCATAAAGCTGGCTCGTGGCCTCAGATTCCTGTACCTTGCCTGCAGCTGGCTGGGATAATAATGGTAATAACAACAATAATAATAATAATAATCCTTGCATTTGATATACGCTTTTCACGTCTTCAAGACGTCTCAAAGCGCTTCACAGAATAGTGAATTGACTACATTTGTAGGTGAAACACAGCAGCCAATTGTACACAGCAGTGTCCCACAAACAGTCGTGGATTGGAATGACCAATTTATTATTGTTTTTTTTGAGGGATTATTATCAGGGTGTGGAGTAAGGAAACTTGTCCAAGGCCTCGCCCGGCCAGGAATCGAACTCAGGTCTCTCACTAATAATAATAGTAATAATAGTAATTCTTGCAAAAAAGACAAATTGGTCACTTCAATCCACAACTGTTTGTGGGACACCTCTGTGCAATTAATTGGCTGTTGACTAACAAGCGAGATTACTTTCTGCTTGGTAAACAGAGGCGCGCGCGCGTGTGTGTGTGTATGTCTGCGTATGTGTCTGTGTGTGTGGAGTAAGGAAACTTGCCCTACGTTTCACCCTGAATACTGAACTCCTGGTAAATAACATTAACTTCTCAGTGAGCCGATAAGTCACAACAACAACAACTTGTATTTACACAGCGCCCTTTATGAGGGTAGCGTCTCGGAGTGGTGGAGCCTGACGCAGAGCCAGTTGGAGGGGAGAGACAGGCAGAAGGTGACCGTGAGCATGGTCAAAGAGAAAGATTTTCAGTCTTGATCTAAAAGAGGGAGAAGGATAGGAGAGGGGAGGAAAGGGGGAAAGGCGGAGTGATCGGGGGAGAGAACTCCACAAAGTCTGACAATACGACCCCCCATGATGGATCAGAGGGCACGAGGGACACGCAGGAGGCCGGAGGCAGCCGAGAGGAGGCAGTGGGTAGTGGGTTGGGGGGGTCAGCAGGTCGGAGAGAGAGGTAGGGAGGTGCCAGAGCCTGAAGGGATTTGTAGATGATTGAAAGGATCTTGAAATTGATCTACGTTGTCACAGCTATCTACTTCCTGGTGCCATTACGACGTAAATTGTGATAAATATCTTTTTGGTGCTTTCCAAGGTCCTGAAACACAATGCAGATCGGACAGACCATTACTAACAACAACATTTTATACGGAACCTTTCACATCAGGAGGACGTCCCAAGGACCTGGAGAGTCAGGGATTTGGATCTGAGCTGTGGGTTGGGATCAGGACGGGGTGGATGGTGGCGAGGGAGGGGTTAGGAAGGTGACCAGGTTGAGGAGGAAAGTCTTGTGACAGGCCTTGAAGGAGGTGAGGGAGTGATGAGGTGGGATGGAGGGACTGTGGGATGGAGTTCCAGAGGGTGGGGCAGAGTAACTGAAGGCCCAACCGATGGTGGGGCAGGTGAGGCGGGGGATGTGAAGCAGGCCGGAGCCCGCTGAGCAGAGAGAGCGGACAGGTTGTTAGGGGGTATGGGGAGCTGCAGAGTTAGTTCTGGATGATCTGCAGTTTGTAGAGGGAGGCGTTGGGGAGGCCGACAAGCAGGGAGTGGGCAAAGTCAAGCCTGTTTGTGGTGAACACATGGATGAGGGCCTCGGTGGCCTGCGGTGAGAGACAGTGGCGGAGCCGGGCAATATGGCGGAGGTGGGGAAGGCATAGCAGGTCATGGTATGGATGAGGGGATGAAGGACAGTTTAGGGTCGTAAAGGACAGAGGTGGGACAGCAAGAGACTGAGCCGGGCTGACACACTGTCCGTGTCAGCCATTTGTTTCCTCACCATGTAAGGGCCTGAATCCTTCTGGGAGACATTGGCAGAGGAAGCCTAAAATATAACCAAACACAGTTTAGCTATTCATTAGCAATGTCGTTAGCAGTAAATAATAATAACCATTGCATTTCATACAGTGCCTTATCACGTCTTCATAACATCTCAAAGCGCTTCACAGGATACACGGTAAAGAGTAGTGACTGTGTGGTTTCATAATAATAATTGTTGCATTTGATACAGTGCCTTATCACGTCTTTGAGTCGTATCAAAGGGGAGCCAATTGCCTAAGGTTTTGCCCTGTCCGGGAAACAAAACCGGATCCTCTCGCTTGAGAGGCGAGGACTCTAACCACTGAGCTACAGGACTGCACAGGACTTACTCTGACATCAATGGTCTCGTAGTATGGTTCACCCTCTGTCTCTTGCTGTGTTTTGGCTGGAAAATAAACAACAACTTGTTTATTCAAAGGCACAGCCTCTGATGGTGGGATGGAGGGAACGAGGGACAAATAGGAGGCCGGTGTGGGGGCGGTTGGGGGTGAGCAGGTCGGAGAGGTAGGGAGGTGCCAGGGTATGAAGGGGTTTGAAAACGGGTGAGAGGATCTTGAAATCGTAGAAAATCTTGAAAATAAACAAGAGTTTGGTGCTGAACCGGTGAACTTGGAGAGAAACGGAGAGGGAGGGACTGACAGAGAGAGAGAAAGTCAAAGGAGGAATGATTGATAGCGAGAGGGGGAGATGGATGGATAGAGACTGACAGGGAGTGAGATGGAGGGTGATAGAGAGAGAGGGGTAAAAACTGATAGAAAAGAGTGGGTGAAATGGAGAGGGAGAGACTGAGAGTGATGGAGGGTGATAGAGAGAAGGGGTAGAGACTGATAGAAAAGAGAGGGTGAAATGGAGGGGGAGAGGCTGATAGAGAGAGAGAGACAAAGTGGGAGAGACTGATAGTGAAAGAGAGTGAGATGGAGGGGCTAGAGACAGATAGAGAGAGACGGAGGGGTAGAGACTGACAGAGAGAGAGGACAGTGAGAGGGTGAGTGGCTGAGGGGGGTCTGGGCTGGTATATAAACAACAGAACATGAAGGTGAAAGGTTTTCCTGTGTATATACGGCCTCACCTTCCTTACGTTTCCTGTAAACGTACAACACAGCGAGTGTTGCAATGACCACCACAGCCACAGCCCCCACTATTGTCCCCACTATCAGGGCCACATTCACTGCGGAGAGAAACACCTTCACTGTCTCTCTATTAGATTATACTCTCGTAACATAGAGACCACAGCACAGACCTCATGTAAATCACATCAATCCTCGCATTTGATACAGCGCCTTATCACGTCGTTGTAAAATGTAGTAACTGTGTATTTTTTGGGCGGAACACAGCAGCCAATTGCGCACAGCGGTGACCCACAAACAGTTGTGGATTGATTGACCAGATTTTTTGTTTTTTTGGAGGATTATGACCCCAGAAAGTGAACCGTCAATTGACTAACAGCGGGTTCCTACCTACTGCTGATAAACAGAGGTGCACATCTGTGTGTGTATGTGTGTCTGCGTGTGTGTGTTTGTGTGTGTGTGTGTCTGTGGGTGTTGTCTGCGGTGGGGTCTATATGTCTGTCTGTGAGTTTGTGTGTGTCTGTGACTGTGTAAGTGTGTGTGTGTGTGTGTGTGTCTGTGTGTGTGTCAACATATCATAACTTACCTCCGCCTTTCAAAGTCACGTCAAATTGGAAGAAGTTCTCTCCCATTGCGTTAGTGACATGGCATTGATATGTGCCCTGATCGGTTGCCTGGAATTTACTGATGAGCAGTTTAGAGAAGGTCGGTCCTGAGGTGATGTTGAACTTGCCGTCAGAGCCAGTGATGGAGTTGTCTTCCTTCGACCATGTAAAGTGTGCGGGCAGCAGGCCAGGGTCTGACACCCGCACTGTGTCTGTCAGTGACACGTCTAAGGTCACATCTGCCTCCTTCCCCACTTCCACCTGAGGCTCAGACCCTGACGCTCTCTGGGGTTTATCTGTGTAACAGCACAGATGGTGTTCAGCAAAACAGCAACACAGTCACCCCAACAGTCAGTAGGAATAATAATAATCCTCCCGTTTGATACAGCGCCTTATCACGCCATCGAGACATCTTAAATCCCATCTAAAGACCTTCCTCTTCGACCAACCGCACCTTCAGCCACCCTCCCACCCCCAACCACCACCACCCCCTGCCCTCCACCCTCCTGACCCCAACTCCTAGCTCAGGTCCAAAACCCAGACTATGCAGCGTCCCGGACGTGTTTGCGACGTGAAGGGCGCTTATACAAGTGTAATTTGTCATCGTTGTTGTTGTTCAGCCCTCAAGTCCTCACCAATGACTATAGAGCATTGACTGTCAGAGACAATATGGCGTCCAACACATGTGAAGATCTCTCGGGAGCTGAGCTGATCCTTTGTGATGGTGACATTCCCCTCGTTTGTCGCATTGACAATCGTCTGTCCAACCTTCAGCTGAAGGACAGAGTCTGCACCCCACCACCCCAGGAGCACATCACACCAATGCTGTTCCTTTATCTGGCTGCTCCGCATGTGATCTGCTGTGTGGGAGCCCCTTGAACAAGGCAAAGACAAACCAGTCCGTTATTGGCTCCACCTTGAGTTGTCCCCACCCTCGCCCGGCTCCACTGGCTCCCAATCCCTCAGAGGATACAGTTCAAGATCCTGGTGCTCAGCTTTAAAGCCCTCCATGGCATCACTCCTCCCTCCCTACCTCTGTGACCTCCTAATCCCTGACCACCGGTCCGCTCCCTCTGCTTAGCGGGCTCCGGCCTGCTCCATGTTCCCCGCCCGCCCATCCCCTTAAGCCTCTCTGCCCCCACCCTCTGAAACTCCCACAATCCCTCTGCCACGCCTCCCTCACCTCCTTCAAAACCTATCTCAAGATCCTCCTCTTCGACAGACCGTGCTTTCAGTCACCCTCCTACACCCATCTCCCTGCCCTCCAACCCTCCTGATAGCAACCCCAGCTCAGATGTGGGTCCCTGACTGTCCAGCGCCTTGAGACATCCTCCTGACGTGAAAGCCACTGTGTAAATGCCATGTGTTGTTATTTAGACAGTGCCAATTTTGACTGAGATCTAACTCACTGTACACGAGGATTGAAACCTTCTCCGGTGTGGCTAATCGTGGTGTAATCATTCTTCACATTGCAAGTGTAATCCCCGCTGTTGTTGAACGTGAGGCTCTCTATAGGCAGCTGTGAGGTGTTGCCGGCAATGACTGTGGTGTTATGCGTCCACCTGTAGTTACACTCTGGGAACATTTCGTCTGACAGTTGAGCGTCACTAAATCTCCCTCCTTCCCACAGTACTGTCCTGGGACCAAACTGTCACATATCACCTGCCACTCATATATACTGTGGGTGGATCAGGGCCATCTGAAGAAAAACATTAAGTGATGACATAGATAGATAAATGGATGGCAGATGATAGTGTGAGAGAAACAGCCTTTTTACATGTATCACAGGACTCCGACTGTTTGTGGGTCCCTCCTGTGCGCAATTGGCTTGCCGTCCCCCGACCCACCCACCCCACCATTGGCGGGAGAGCCTTCAGCCACTCTGCCCCAACCTCTGTAATCCTATCCCCCAGTCATTCCGCTTCACGCCCTCCTTAGCCTCCTTCAAGTCACGCCTCAAGACCCTCCTCTTCGACCATGCCATCGGCCATCCCCCTTCCCCGCCCCTCCTTCTCCCCCCGTGACTCCAGCTCGGGTCTGAAATGCTGTCATGTCCAGTGCCTTGGGACATCCTCCCGATGTGAAAGACGCTATACAAATGTAATCCTGTTGTTGTTGTTGTGTTTCACCCATAAAATATACAGTCAATTCACTTTACAGTATATTCTGTGAAGTGATTTGAGACGTGAGGAGGTGTTTTTTTTGGAGGGGTTAATACATTCGGAAAAGTGATCGGCAATCGACTAACAAGGGTTTCCGCTTACTGTTAGGTAAACAACAAAATACAACAACAATAATATTACATTTATAGAGCGTCCTTAACGTCGGGAGGACGTCCCAAGACATTGGCGCTGCTAAACAGTGGGGTGTATGTGTGTGGGGGGGTGGGGGTGGGGGCGAGTGTTGGGTGGAGTAATGTACCTGCCTAAGCTTTCGTCCTGACCCGCCCGGGAATCAAACCCAGGTCCTCTCGCTTGATAAGGCGATATATCAAGTGCAAGAATGATTATTATTCTGATGATCATGACTATGATCATTATTATTGTTATTATCTTTACTGTTATTGCAGCTCAGGTCACGTGAGGCTGACTTTGGGTCATGGAGTTTAAAGCGAGTCGGGGTTCCTGCTCCTGGTCCCTAAACTCCCTCTCGGGCTCAGGTGTGTGTGTTGCAGTCTAGTGAGGAGATTAGGTTTGTCTGTGGGGCCCTCTACAGTCAAGTGGCCGATTGACACTCAGATAGTGATGGGATCTTTAACCTGAACAGGCAGATAGTTTAACGTCTCATCCAAACAGCGGCTCTTCAATGATAATAACAATAGTGGAGTCCTGTTGCTCAATGGTTAGAGCATTTGCCTCGTAAGTGAACTTGAGTTCAATTCCATCAGGGTCGAATGCTTGGGCAAGTTTCCTTACTCCACACGCCTGATAATAAACCCTCCAGAAAGAAACTAATAGTAAATTGGTCACTTCAATCCACGGCTGTTTTGGGACGACGCTGTGTGCAATTGTGTTTCACCCACAAATATACAGTCAATTCACTTTACAATATATTCTGTGAAGCATTTTGAGATGTCTCAAAGACGTAAAGAGCGGGCATCAAATGAAAGGTTTATTATATTATTTATAGGGCAAAACATTGGGCAAGTTTCCTTACTCCGCACGCCTCTGTTTACCTCGCAGTGTGTGGGGACCCAGTTGTTAGTCGACTGATGGATCGCTTTTCCGAGGGTAAAAATTCCTTCAAAAAATAATATTAATGAATTGGTCCCTGAATCCCCAACTGTTTGTGGGACACTGCTGTGTGCAATTGGTTGACATTTTATGGAGTGGTTATTACCTCCAGAAAGTGATCCGGCAATGAACTGACAAGTAGGTTCATACTTACTGCAGGTCAGCAGAGCCATGTCTATGTGTGTTTCTATGAGTGGAGGACTATATGAGTTCCAAGTGCTGACGTGAGGCTTGAACCCACAACCTTCTGACTTATAGAGAGCTGAGCCAGGCTGGAACAAGTAGGGATATACGTGGGCCAACTGCACTGTCCTGTTCAGCTCACGTTGATCTGGTTTTAACACAACAGCAAATATACTCACAGTTATCACCAGCTTCACTGGTTTGCTGCTGTCACTGTTCACCGGGTTACTGGCCGCGCAGATAAACCCTCCACTGTCGTTCCTGTGTACGGGGCTGATTGTCAGAGTGCTATTAGCTGCAGACAGTGTGTAACGTGGGGTTACAGGTAACGGGTGTCCATCCAGTGCCCAGGAATAGGTGGGGAACAATCCCATCACTGTACACCTCAATGTCGTTGTGTCTTTATTCTCGATAAATATCTCCTTGTCTGGACTCAGGCTGATGCTCACATTGGACAGCAGAGCTGTAAGATACGGATTTACTTTACTTAACACAAAGCTGTTCTGCTTCAGTTCAAGATCCTGGTCCTCACCTTCAATGTCCTCTACAACCTCACTCCTCTCTCCTTACCTCCGCTCCCTCTGCTCAGCGGGCTCCGGCCTGCTTCATGCCCCCGCCCACCTGCCCCACCATCAGCGGTTGGGCCTTCAGCCTCTCTGCCCCAATCCACGACTGTTTGTGGGACACTGCTGTGTGCAATTGGCTGCAGAGTTTCGCCCACAAAATAGACCGGCAATTCACTTTACAGTATATCGTCCCAAAATACATCACTTTGCACTTCTCCACATTAAACTTCATCATGTCTGCCCATGTTACCAGTCTGTCTATGTCCTCTTGCAGTCTGTTACTCTCCTCCTCACTGTTTACTACTTTTCTTAGCTTAGTATCATGTGTGTGGCTCCTGATCTCACACACACTAAACTCTGTACCCCAGTCCTGCCCAGGCTCCAAACTTGGCAATTGTGCTCTCTATACCCAAGTCCAGGCCACCTTAAAGACCCATTTCAAGGCCTTCCTCTTCGACCGGCCATGCCTCCAGTCATCCTTCTATTCCAACCCTACCCGCCCTCCACCCCTCCTTATCCCAACCCCCACCTCGAGTGCGGATCCCTGACTATCCAGTGCCTTGGGACGTCGTCCTGATATGAAAGCCACTGTTGTTGTTTACACCATGACATTTTTGACTGAGATAACTAACTCACTGTACACGAGGATTGAAACCTTCTCCGTGCGGCTAATCGTGGTGTAATCATTCTTCACATTGCAAGTGTAATCCCCGCTGTTGTTGAACGTGAGGCTCTCTATAGGCAGCTGTGAGGTGTTGCCGGCAATGACTGTGGTTTATGTGTCCACCTGTAGTTACACTCTGGGAAACATTTCGTCTGACAGTTGAGGGTCATCAAATCTCCCTCCTTCCCACAGTACTGTCCTGGGACCAAACTGTCACATATCACCTGCCCACTCACAATAAAGGTGAGTGGATCAGGGCCATCTGAAAGAAAAAGCATTAAACTATGACACAGATAGATAAATGGGATGGCAGATGATAGTGTGAGAGAAACAGTCTTTTTACATGTATCACAGACCTCTGACTGTTTGTGGGTCGCTGCTGTGTGCAATTGGCTGCTGCGTTTTGCTCATAACATATACAGTCAATTCACTTTACAGTATATTCTGTGAAGCGTTTCAGTCGTCCAGAAGATGTGAAAAGCACTGTTATCAAATGCAAGGATTATTATATTATTGATAGAGCAAAACGTCGGCCAAGTTTCTCTCCTCCCAAACACACCCTCTGTTTACTGAGCAGTAATTAGGAACCCGGTTATTAGTCGATTGGTGAGAATCAAACCAAAGTCCTCCCACTTGCGAGGTGAGGGCTCCAACCACTACAGGACCCCACTGTTTGTTCCTCTATTCACAGCATCAAACCCCAATGTAGAATATTCCAGCATTGCATTGGAGCTTCAGTCTGGACTACATGAGTTCCAAGTACTGACGTGAACCCACAACCTTCTGACTTATAGAGAGCTGAGCCAGCTGAACAAGTAGGGATATACGTGGGCCAACTGCACTGTCCTGTTCAGCCTCACGTTGATCTGGTTTTAACACAACAGCAAATATACTCACAAGTTATCACCAGCTTCACTGGTTTAACTGCTGTCACTGCCCACCAGGTGACTGGCCGTGCAGATAAACCCTCCACTGTCGCTCCTGTGTACGGGGTGATTGTCAGAGTGCTATTATCTGCAGACAGTGTGTAACGTGGGGTTACAGGTAACGGTGTCCATCCAGTGCCCAGGAATAGGTGGGGAACGATCCCATTGCTGTACATCTTAGTGTCACTGTGTCTTTATTCTCGATAAATATCTCCTTGTCTGGACTCAGACTGATGCTCACATTGGACACCGGAGCTGTAAGATAACGCGTTTCATTTCATTCAGAAACTTGTTCAGATTCACTTCACTGACACAAACTTGTTCGGAGTCACTTTGCTGAACCCTACACTTTATTTCTGACGCTGTTTGTTATGATTCACTGTTTATTCAGGTCTCAGTCTGGCTCATTTGGTAGCACAATGTTATGGTTTAAAGCCCCACTCTTGGAGCTCACAGTCCAGGTTTATTGGCTTAATGAATGAAATGAAATGGGCCCGGGGGCCGGATGCGGCCCGTGGGCCACCAGTTGGCCCACCCTGCTCTCCCGATGCTCTGAAGCCAGGGTGGCTGCCGTGGGCCGGATTCCCCTATTTGTCAAAGATCCACGAGCCACATCCAACCTGAGGCCATTTCCACTCCCTCCCTCCCTCCCTCCCTGGTCAGCGGCAGGAGCTGATGGTTGGGAAGACCCAGCGACCAGAGCCTTTACTGCAGTCTTCAAGGAGAGCAAGCAAATACGTCGCTGTTCCTCACACTCCCCCTCCCTCTCCCCCCCTCCCTCTCTCTGCCCCCACTCTTTTTCACTCCCCTCTCTCCCCCCTCTCTTTCTCCCCCCCCCTCCCTTGCTCCCAAGATCCACTGGCACTTGCCTGGCTTTCCTATCACACACTAAACTCTGTAACCCATCACCCCCGCCCTCACCAGACCCCACTGGCTCCTTAATCACACACTAAACTCTGTACCCCATCACCTGAGCCCTCGCCAGGCCCCACTGGGTCCCTATCACACACTATACTCTGTACCCCATCACCTCCGCCCTCGCCCCCGCCCTCGCCAGGCCCCACTGGCTCCCTATCACACACTAAACTCTGTACCCCATCACCCCCGCCCTCGCCAGGCCCCACTGGCTCCCTATCACACACTAAACTCTGTACCCCATCACCCCCGCCCTCGCCAGGCCCCACTGGCTCCCTATCACACACTAAACTCTGTACCCCATCACCCCCGCCCTCGCCAGGCTCCACTGTTTCCGTATCACCAAACAGATCGATTTTGAGATCATCTCACTCGTTTTCAAATCCCTTCATGCCATGGTACTGCCCTAAACTCTCCGACCTGCTCACCCACCCACTGCACTCTCGGTGCCTCCTCTTGGCTGGTTCCATCCTTGTCTTGTTTTTCCCTCGTCCCCTCCACTCCACCATCAATGGCTGTGTCTTCAGCCACTGCGTCACTTTCTCCCTCAATCCCAACGCCTCGCCCCTCCCTCCCCACCTTCAAATCGCACCTAAAGACCTTCCATTTTGATCGTGTTTACAGTCACCGCCTTCCTCTCCCTCTCCCCCCCCGGGTCGGGGTCAGACTCGGCCCCTGCAAAGTGCTCCGGGACACTCCGCGTGAAGGGCGCTGTTGTTGTTACTCACTGTGAACACGCAGTTGTAAATCTGCTGAGGCTGCTCCGAGATTAAGTCAAACACAGACACTGAGTACGAACCGGAATCAGCCGGAGTCACTGGTGTCCAGACGTAGAGTGGCATTGTTGGGGTAAGCTCAGCCCGACCCTGGTAGTCTCCATAGTACTTCACTGCTGTTCCTTTGCTGATGCGATTGTGGAGCTGGTGTGACTTTCCATATTATACTAAAATTTCCCAGTTTCACTGGGCATTACCAGGAAGTACACAGATAGTCCGGCTGTGGCTTCTATCTGACTCTCAGTGACGGTCAGACTGAAAGCTCCCACCTGCTCTGTAATACAAAACACACACAACAGTCAATCACCAAATATCACAATGTAATAATAATATTCATCCTTGCATTTGATCTCGCGTCTTATCACGTCTTTGAGATGTCTCAAAGCGCTTCACAGAATTACTGTAAGGTGAATTGACTATATTTGTGGACAAAAGTTTTGAAGGAATTATTACCCCCAGAAAAGCAATCCGCCAATCGACTAACAACCAGGTTTCTACTTACTTCTGATAAACAGAGGCGTGTGGGTACGTGTGAAGTAAGGAAACTTGCCCAACGTTTCCCCCAGAGGGGAAGCGAACCCAGATCTCTCACTTACAAGGTGAGCGCTCTTACCACTGAACTACAGAACTGCACAATTCAGAAAATGTCATTTGTTTAAGATGAAGATAGATTTAGATAGATTTCTGCTAGAAAATAATAGCTTGGGATACAGTAGATAGACCCACAGATACACACAGAAAGACATAGAGAGAGAGGAGACAGACACATACACACACACCGAGACAGAGACACACACACAGAGGCAGAGAGAGGTACCATTTGTGTAGCGACTTTCACATCGGGAGGATATCTCATAGATAGACACACTCACAGACACAGAGAGACACTCACACACATAGAGAGACACACACAGGCACATCCACAAACACACAGAGAAGGAGACACAGACACACAACAACGCACAGACACTCACAAACAGAGAGATACACAGACAAACAGACACTCACAAACAGAGAGATACACAGACAAACAGAGACACACATAGACACTCACAAATGCATATAGAGAGACACACACACACTCATACAACGCGGACACGGAGACACACACACACACACTCACAAACTGAGAGAAACACACACACTCCCAAACAGAGACACAGACACACACACTGAGAGACAGAACACAGACACACACACAGAGAGACACATACACTTAGACACACAGAGAGACACATACAGAAAGACATAGATACACGCGGATAGATAGAGAAACATACCGAGAGACAGACACCCCCCAGATAATCACACACACACACACACAGACTGAGACATACACTGTGAGACAGACACACACATCCAGACAGAGATATATATACACACACACACAGTGGGAGACACACACAGTATATAGTTTGGGACATGTCGAACGACTGCCAGGACGGTGGGAGATGAACGAGATGGACCTTTGCTTATGTTGTTACCAGTAACTCACCCAAATTAGTGACCAGAATGAGCAGAGCAGCCACCAACATCCTCGCGGCTGGAAACCACCACATATACACGTTAGGGAGAGAGACAGAGACAAACTGAATATGGGCTGTCACCTGAACGCAGGGCAGAGTCTGCTGTTAATCATTACTGTTACTGTAGGAGACCCTGACACTGGCTCTAATGGCACCCGGTGCACTTTCACTTTGTCAGGAATTAATATGTTAATTTATGAGATAAATAGATTTACTTCCTGTAAGACACATTTTACGCCCTCACTATTTTTAATATTATTATAATAATAGTCCTTGCGTTTGACACAGCGCCTTATCACGTTTTTGAGACTTCTCAAAGTGCTTCACAGGATACACTGAGAAATGTAGTGACTGTGTTTTGTGGGAGAAACGCAGCAGCCAATTCCATACAGCAATGTTCCACAAACAGTAGAGGATTGAGTGCCGTATTAGTTACAAAAAATTTTGAATAATCCTTCCATCTGATACAGCACCTTATCACATCTTCGAAACGTCTCAAAGCGCTTCACAGGATACGCTGTAAAGTGGAGTGACTGTGTGTTTTGGGGGCTGAAACATGGCAGCCAATTGCACACAGCGACGTCCCCACAAACAGTTGTGGATTGAGTGACCACATTATTATTATTTTTTAAAAGATATTATTGCCCCCAGGAAATCGATCCCCCAATCAACTAACCCCCGGGTTCCTACTGACTGCTGGTAAACAGAGGTGTGAGTAAAAAGTGTGTGTGTGGAGTAAGGAAACTTGCTTAAGCTTTTGCCCTGACACACCTGGGAATCGAACCCAGATCCGTTCGCTTGCGAGGCGAGCGCTCTAACCCCTGAGCTACAGTGGAGACAAGATACTCACTGAGACACAGGTTTAGTGTGTGTTTTGTGATGTGTTCAGTGACTGTTTAGGGATGTGTTCAGGGTCATGTTTCGTTACCCCATCACCCCCATCTTCGTTCGGCTCCACTGACTCCCCATCACTGAGAGAGTACAGTTCAAGCTCCTGGTCCTCACCTTCGAAGCACTCCATGGCCTCACTCCCCCCCACCTCTGTGAACTCCTAACTCACCCCCTACCAACCTGTCCATTCTCTCCACTCAGTAGGCTCCGGCCGGCTTCACATCCCCACCCGCCTCCCCCACCATTGGCTGTCGGGCCTTCAGCCTCTCCGCCCCCTCCCTCGCCTCCTTCAAGGCCAGTTTCAAGACCTTCCTCGTCGACCATCACATCTTTGGTCACTGTCCTACCCTCACTCTCCCCGTCCTCTACCCTTCCTGATCCCAACCCCCAACCTGGGTATAAACCTCTGACTGTCCAGCACTTTGGGATGTCCTCCTGACATGAACATAATAATCATTGCATTTGATATCGCGCCTTATCACGTCGTCGAGACATCTCATTCATAGAACACATTGTAGAGTGGAGTGACTGTATTTTGTAGCCGAAATACAGCAGCCAATTATCATTTAATTGAAGCGGCTCAAAGAGCTCAGCAGGATATGCTACTGTAAAGTGTAGTGACTGTGTGTTCAGAGACTGTGTAGTGACTGTCAGGGTTAGTGTGCACCCCACCACACTCCTTACCTCTGACACAAGATGGAATTATTGCGGTCAAACCAAAGGAATTTTATTACCAGAAGAAGATAACAAGAGAGAAATGTGGAGAGACGAGAGAAGCTGAGATTGTTCTCCTTAGAGCAAGAGGAGGTTAGGGGAGATCTAATATAGGTGTTCAAAATGATGAGGGGTTTTGATAGAGTAAATAGGGAGAAACTGTTTCCACTGGTGTGTGGGTCAGTAACGGGAGAACATAGATTTAATATAATTGGGAAAAGAACCAGAGGGGAGACGAGGGGACATTTACGCAGCGATTTATTACGATCTGAAACGTACTGTCGGAAAGGCTCATGAAATCAGATTCCATAGTAGCTTTCAAAAGGGAATTGGACAGGACTTGAAAAGGAAAACTATGCAGAGATACGGGGTAGGAGCGGGGGAGTGGGACTGATTGGGCAGCTCTTTCAAAGAACCGGCACAGACACGATGGGCCGAATGGCCTCCGCCTGTGTTGTAAGATTCTGTGATTCCATAATTCCATTTACACTGTAAAGTGAATTGACTGTATATTTGTGGGCGAAACGCGGCAGACAATTGTGCACAGCAGTGTCCCACAAACAGTCGTGGATCGAAGCAGCCAATATATTATTTTTTTGTAAGGATTATTACCCGCAGAAAAGTAATCCACCAGTCGACTAATAATCGTATTGTTACTTACTGCAGTGTAAACAGAGGCGTGTGCGTGTGAAATAAGGACATTATGCCCCGACCCGCCCAGGAATCGAACAAAGGTCCTCTCACTTGTGAGACGAGTGCTGTAACCACTGAGCTGCAGGACTCCAACGATAAAACCCCTGACAGGTAAACCACCCGGAGCTCAGTGACCTGTGAGTTAGGAATGTCTGGAGTTAATTGCTGTACAGCTCAAAGGTTTCAGTTGGTTTGAAGCAGTGATTTCATGTGGAAGTGAAAGCCATTGTAAGATTAGCTCACTCATAAAGCTGGCTCGTGGCCTCAGATTCCTGTACCTTGCCTGCAGCTGGCTGGGATAGCAATGGTAATAATAATAATAACAATAATAATAATCCTTACATCTTCTGGACGTCTCAAAGCGCTTCACAGAATTGTGAGTTGATTGCATAAATTTGTGTGCGAAATGCGGAGGCCAATTACGCACAGCAGTGTCCCACAAACAGTCGTGGATTGGAATGACCAATTTATTATTGTTTTTTTTGAGGGATTATTATCAGGGTGTGGAGTAAGGAAACTTACCCAAGGCCTCGCCCGGCCAGGAATCGAACTCAGGTCTCTCACTAATAATAATAGTAATAGTAATAATAGTGATTCTTGCAAAAAAGATAAATTGGTCACTTCAATCCACAACTGTTTGTGGGACACCTCTGTGCAATTAATTGGCTGTTGACTAACAAGCGAGATTACTTTCTGCTTCATAAACAATGGCACGCGCGCGTGTGTGTGTGTGTGTATGTCTGTGTGTGCGTTTCTGTGAGTATGTGTGTGTGTGTGAGTCTGTGTCTGCGTATGTGTCTGTGTGTGTGGAGTAAGGAAACTTGCCCTACGTTTCACCCTGAATACTGAACTCCTGGTAAATAACATTAACTTCTCAGTGAGCTGATAAGTCACAACAACAACAACTTGTATTTACACAGCGCCCTTTACGAGGGTAGCGTCTCGGAGTGGTGGAGCCTGACGCAGAGCCAGTTGGAGGGGAGAGACTGGGAGTAGGTGACCGTGAGCATGGTCAAAGAGAAAGATTTTCAGTAGTGATCTAAAAGAGGGGGAAGGATAGGAGAGGGGAGGAAAGGGGGAAAGGCGGAGGATCGGTGGAGAGAGCTCCAAAGTCTGACAATACGACCCCCCATGATGGATCAGAGGGCACGAGGGACACGCAGGAGGCCGGAGGCAGCCGAGAGGAGGCAGTGGGTAGTGGGTTGGGGGGTCAGCAGGTCGGAGAGAGAGGTAGGGAGGTGCCAGAGCCTGAAGAGATTTGTAGATGATTGAAAGGATCTTGAAATCGATCTACGTTGTCACAGCTATCTACTTCCTGGTGCCATTACGACGTAAATTGTGATAAATATCTTTTTGGTGCTTTCCAAGGTCCTGAAACACAATGCAGATCGGACAGACCATTACCAACAACAACATTTTACACTGAACCTTTCACATCAGGAGGACGTCCCAAGGACCTGGAGAGTCAGGGATTTGGATCTGAGCTGTGGGTTGGGATCAGGAGAGGGTGGATAGTGGCGATGTAGGCGTTAGGAAGGTGACCAGGTTGAGGAGGAAAGTCTTGTGACAGGCCTTGAAGGAGGTGAGGGAGTGATGGGGTGGGATGGAGGGACTGTGGGATGGAGTTCCAGAGGGTGGTGCAGAGTAACTGAAGGCCCAACCGATGGTGGGGCAGGTGAGGCGGGGGATGTGAAGCAGGCCGGAGCCCGCTGAGCAGAGAGAGCGGACAGGTTGTTAGGGGGTATGGGGAGCTGCAGAGTTAGTTCTGGATGATCTGCAGTTTGTAGAGGGAGGCGTTGGGGAGGCCGACAAGCAGGGAGGGGGCAAAGTCAAGCCTGTTTGTGGTGAACACATGGATGAGGGTCTCGGTGGCCTGCGGTGAGAGACAGTGGCGGAGCCGGACAATATGGTGGAGGTGGGGATGGCATAGCAGGTCATGGCATGGATGAGGGGATGAAGGACAGTTTAGGGTTGTAAAGGACAGAGGTGGGACAGCAAGAGACTGAGCCGGGCTGACACACTGTCCGTGTCAGCCATTTGTTTCCTCACCATGTAAGGGCCTGAATCCTTCTGGGAGACATTGGCAGAGGAAGCCTAAAATATAACCAAACACAGTTTAGCTACTCATTAGCAATGTTGTTAGCAGTAAATAATAATAACCCTTGCACTTCATACAGTGCCTTATCACGTCTTCATAACATCTCAAAGCGCTTCACAGGATACACGGTAAAGAGTAGTGACTGTGTGGTTTCATAATAATAATAATCGTTGCATTTGATACAGTGCCTTATCACGTCTTTGAGTCGTATCAAAGGGGAGCCAATTGCCTAAGGTTTTGCCCTGTCCGGGAAACAAAACCGGATCCTCTCGCTTGAGAGGCGAGGACTCTAACCACTGAGCTACAGGACTGCACAGGACTTACTCTGACATCAATGGTCTCGTAGTGTGGTTCACCCTCTGTCTCTTGCTGTGTTTTGGCTGGAAAATAAACAACAACTTGTTTATTCAAAGGCACAGCCTCTGATGGTGGGATGGAGGGAACGAGGGACAAATAGGAGGCCGGTGTGGGGCGGTGGGGGTGAGCAGGTCGGAGAGGTAGGGAGGTGCCAGGGCATGAAGGGGTTTGAAAACGAGTGAGAGGATCTTGAAATCGTAGAAAATGTTGAAAATCTACAAGAGTTTGGTGCTGAACCGGTGAACTTGGAGAGAAATGGAGAGGGAGGGACTGATAGAGAGAGAGAGAGAGAGAGAGAGAGAGAGAGAGAGAGATTAGCAGTGAGAGATAGGGTTAAAGCCTGACAGAAAGACAAAGAGGGAGCGATTGAAAGAGAGAGGTGGAGATGGATGGATAGAGACTGATAGAGAGTGAGATGGAGGGTGATAGAGAGGGGGGGATAGAGGCTGATAGAAAGGAGATGGTGAAATGGAGTGGGAGAGACTGATAGAGAGAGAGAGAGAGATAGAGGGGGAGAGACTGATGGAGGAAGAGTGAGACGGAGAGGGTAGAGACTGATTGAGCTTGTGACTGAGGTGGATAGAGACTAATGGAGGGAGTGTGAGACAGAAGGGAAGAGACTGATAGAGAGACATGAAGGGGGAGAGACTGATAGTGAGAGAGAGTGAGACGGAGGGGGAGAGACTGATAGAGAGAGACAAGGGGGAGAGACTGATAGTGAAAGAGAGCGAGACGGAGGGGATAGAGACAGATAGAGTGAGACGGAGGGGTAGAGACTGACAGAGAGAGAGGACAGTGAGAGGGTGAGTGGCTGAGGGGGTCTGGGCTGGTATATAAACAACAGAACATGAAGGTGAAAGGTTTTCCTGTGTATATACGGCCTCACCTTCCTTACGTTTCCTGTAAACGTACACCACAGCGAGTGTTGCAATGACCACCACAGCCACAGCCCCCACTATTGTCCCCACTATCAGGGCCACATTCACTGCGGAGAGAAACACCTTCACTGTCTCTCTATTAGATTATACTCTCGTAACATAGAGACCACAGCACAGACCTCATGAACATCATATCAATCCTCGCATTTGATACAGTGCCTTATCACGTCGTTGTAAAGTGTAGTAACTGTGTATTTTGTGGGCGGAACACGGCAGCCAATTGCACACAGCGGTGACCCACAAACAGTCGTGGATTGATTGACCAGATTTTTTGTTTTTTTGGAGGGATTATGACCCCCGGAAAGTGAACCGTCAATTGACTGACAAGTGGCTTCGTACCTTCTGCTGGTGAACAGAGGTGTGTGCATGTGTCTCTATGTGTGTCTGTGTGTGTCTGTGTGTGTGTGTCTGTCTGTGTGTGTACTGACATATCATAACTTACCTTCGCCTTTCAAAGTCACGTCAAATTGGAAGAAGTTCTCTCCCATTGCGTTAGTGACACGGCATTGATATGTGCCCTGATCGGTTGCCTGGAATTTACTGATGAGCAGTTTAGAGAAGGTTAGTCCTGAGGTGATGTTGAACTTGCCGTCAGAGCCAGTGATGGAGTTGTCTTCCTTCGACCATGTAAAGTGTGCGGGCAGCAGGCCAGGGTCTGACACCCGCACTGTGTCTGTCAGTGACACGTCTAAGGTCACATCTGCCTCCTTCCCCACTTCCACCTGAGGCTCAGACCCTGACGCTCTCTGGGGTTTATCTGTGTAACAGCACAGACGGCGTTCAGCAAAACAGTAACACAGTCACCCCAACAGTCAATAGGAATAATAATAATCCTCCCGTTTGATACAGCGCCTTATCACGCCATCGAGACGTCTCAAATCCCATCTAAAGACCTTCCTCTTCGACCAACCGCACCTTCAGCCACCCTCCCACCCCAAAACCCACCCCCCTGCCCTCCACCCCTCCTGACCCCAACTCCCAGCTCAGGTCCAAAAACCCAGACTGTGCAGCGTCCCGGGACGTGTTTGCGACGTGAAGAGTGCTATACAAGTGTAATTTGTTATTGTCGCTGCTGTTCAGCCCTCAAGTCCTCACCAATGACTATAGAGCATTGACTGTCAGAGACAACATGGCGTCCAACACATGTGAAGATCTCTCGGGAGCTGAGCTGATCCTTTGTGATGGTGACATTCCCCTCGTTTGTCGCATTGACAATCGTCTGTCCGACCTTCAGCTGAAGGACAGAGTCTGGCACCCCACCAGCCCAGGAGCACATCAACCCCACTGCTGTTCCTTTATCCGCTGCTCCGCATGTGATCTGCTGTGTGGGAGTCCCTTGAACAAGGCAAAGACAAACAGTCCAGTTATTGGCTCCACCTTGAGTTGTCCCCACCCTCGCCCGGCTCCACTGGCTCCCCATCCCTCAGAGGATACAGTTCAAGATCCTGGTGCTCAGCTTTAAAGCCCTCCATGGCCTCACTCCTCTGTCCCTACCTCTGTGACCTCCTAACCCCTGACCAAGCTGTCCACTCCCTCCGCTCATTAGGCTCCAGCCTACTCCATGTCCCTTCCCGGCCCACTCCATCATCGGCGTTCTGCCCTAATTTGCCCCATCCTATGAAACTCCCATAACCGCTCCGCCTCGCCCTCTCCCTCGCCTTCTTCAAACCTGTGCGATCTACTGTGCCTTCGTCACCCTCCTACACCCATCTCCCTGCCCTCCAACCCTCCTGATAGCAACCCCCAGCTCAGGTGTGGGTCCCTGACTGTCCAGCGCCTTGGGACATCCTCCTGACGTGAAAGCCACTGTGTAAATGCCATGTGTTGTTATTTAGACAGTGCCAACTTTGACTGAGATCTAACTCACTGTACACGAGGATTGAAACCTTCTCTGTGCGGCTAATCGTGGTGTAATCATTCTTCACATTGCAAGTGTAATCCCCGCTGTTGTAGAACGTGAGGCTCTCTATAGGCAGCTGTGAGGTGTTGCCGGCAATGACCGCGGTGTTATGTGTCCACGTGTAGTTACACTCTGGGAAACATTTCGTCTGACAGTTGAGGGTCATCAAATCTCCCTCCTTCCCACAGTACTGTCCTGGGAAGAAGCTGTCACATAGCTCCAGCCCGATCACTTCAACTGTGGGTGGATCAGGGCCATCTGAAAGAAAAAGCATTAAACTATGACATAGATAGATAAATGGATGGCAGATGATAGTGTGAGAGAAACAGCCTTTTTACATGTATCACAGGAACCTGGGAATCTTGTTTGACCCTGAACTGTCCTTTCTCCCCCACATCCGCGCCATGACAGCACTGCCTACCGCCACCTCCGCAATATTGCCAGACTCCGCCACCTCCGCAATATTGCCAGACTCCGCCACTGTCTCAGCCATCAGGCTTCCGAAGCCTTCACCCACGCATTCATCACCTCAAGGTTTGATTACGTGAACTCCCTCCTCATCGGCCTTCCCAACTCTTCCCTTCAGAAACTGCAGATCATCCAAAACTCTGCAGCTCGTGTACTCTCGTGCACCCGGCTCCGTGACCCCATCACTCCCACCCTCGCCGACTCCACTGGCTCCCCATCCCTCAGAGGATGGAATACCAGATGCTTGTCCTCACCTTTAAGGCCATCCATGGCCTTGCCCCCTCCTATCTCTCTGACCTGCTGACTCCCTACCAACCTGCCCGCGTCCTCCGTTCAGTGTGCTCCGGCTGCTCCATGTCTCCTACCCGGCCCATCGCTGGCCGGGCTTTCAGCTTCTCTGCCCCCACACTCTGGAACTCCATCCCACGGTCCCTTGGCCTCGCTTCCTCCTTGGCCTCCTTCAAGTCCGGTCTCAAAACCCTTTTCTTTATCGAGCTTTTGGTCTCCCTCCCACCTCTCTGCCTTCCCTCACCCCTCCCCCACCCCTCCCACATGCTCGGGCCCCGACACCTGACTGTTCAGCACTTTGGAACGTTTTCCTGACGTGAAAGGCGCTCTATAAATGTAATTTTGTTGATGTTGTTGCTGTTGTTCTGGCCTTTTGTGGGTCCCTCCTGAGCGCAATTGGCTGCGCGTTTCACACATAAAATATACAGTGAATTCACTTTACAATATATTCTGTGAAGCGATTTGAGACGAGGTAAGGCACGTTTTTTGGATGTGTTAATACCTCTGGAAAAGTGATCCGGCAATCGACTAACAAGGGTTCCCGCTTACTGTTAGGCAAACAATAGTGTGTGTGGGGGTGAATGTGGGGTGTGTGGGTGGAGTAAGGAAAGTTGCGTTAGGTGTCGTCCTGACCCGCCCGGGAATCAAACCCAGGTCCTCTCGCTTGATAAGGCGATATATCAAGTGCTAGAATGATTATTATTCTGATGATCATGACTATGATCATTATTATTGTGATTATCATTACTATTATTGCAGCTCAGGTCACGTGAGGCTGACTTTGGGTCATGGAGTTTAAAGCGAGTCAGGGTTCCTGCTCCTGGTCCCTAACCTCCCTCTCGGGCTCAGGTGTGTGTGTTGCAGTCTAGTGAGGAGATTAGGTTTGTCTGTGGGGCCCTCTACAGTCAAGTGGCCGATTGATACTCAAATGGTGATGAGATCTTTAACCTGAACAGACAGATAGTTTAACGTCTCATCCAAACAACGGCTCTTCCAATGATAATAACAATAGTGGAGTCCTGTAGCTCAGTGTTTCGAGCAAGTG